GATTTTAAAGATTTTAAAGATTTTAAAGATTTTAAAGATTTTAAAGATTTTAAAGATTTTAAAGATTTTAAAGATTTTAAAGATTTTATAAATTAAAGTAGGATTATGCTGCCTGATATACCCTCCTTCGCCATTCAATAATTAGAGATAGAGGTGTCGGGATCTAATAGGTCCAGAGTCTATCGATTCTCCGTTCTTCATCTATCCTCAATCCATCTCCATTTACCACGCCCATCGCATAGAGAGCCCCCTTTTCCCTTACAAAGTCATCCCTCTCCTTCCTCTCCATAATCGAGCAGCCTTCCAATTCATCCATCAAGCCGCCATGTCCCTCACCAGCCCACTCGCTTTCTCTGCGAGCCAGATATACCCCCACACTGGCCACTGTGCGCGGGCTCCTAGGGAGCGGCCTCCCTCGCATTGGTCTCAGTATCAAGGCCAGGATACATCCAACCATCAGGATCAAAACGCCCATACTAATGCCATTGCAGACCTCGTACGTTTGCTTCGTGACGGCGGGAGAGAATGAGATGTTGGCCAGGCAGATGGGGAGGAATTCCGAGAGCACCGAGAAGAAGCAGATTAGAGCGACAAAATAGTGTTTTCTGCGTAGAGCGGGTATGATGGCTGCGAAAGGGGAAGTCCAGATGGGTACTAAGATTGAATCGTCGGGGTTGGAAGATCCTTGTAGCAGACGGTCGAAAGGTGCCAACTGGCGGAGATCTAACTAAGAGATTAGTGATCTATCGCGGAAGACAATATTGACAGCGAGATGAACGAACCTTGATCAATACCACCCCAGAATAATTTGACAATTACACCTAAACTGGTCATCATGAATTTCACGCCAAACCCTTGCGAGTTCATGAATCGTTCGAACCCTGTATCCGCACTCGTCCAGTGGTAGTAGGCAATCAACGCCAATAAACCTCCAAGTAAGATAAATGCTGCAACATAATACAGCTTCTCCTGGAGAATCCACCACATCTTCGCACCTCGCGTGTGGGTTGAGTCGAAACTTGAAACTCCTGTGTCTACCACCAGTTTACTTTCAGAGCCAATGACGAGTTTGTAGCGCCCTTTGTTTCCTGCTCTAGCAGCTTTTGCAGCAAGCCCAGTCTCGACGTCTAAGTTGAAATTCACGATGCCATAGCATGGTATCTGATCCGAACTCATGAAGTAGGAGAGTGCGTATCGCCTGCCGGATAAGATGCTCTTCAGTTCCTTTTTCTTTACCTGCGAGTCAATTTCGCGAAGGTCTTTTAAGACGGGAGATTTGTAGAGGAGAGAGGCGAGTCCAACGATGCTGAGGGGCTCGGAGTAAACGCCAGAGTTGCGGTTAAAGACGAAGCCTAGCAGGAGAACAAGTAAGACAGCCACGAATGCGAGAATGCCCTGGATGCCGCGTACCAGGCCTGGATAGACGCCCCATACCGCATGACACCCGCTACTCGGCAGATTCGCACCACAAACTCCACTCAAGCTGACGAAGAATGCCTCAGATGATAGAGGAGCGAGGAGTAGAACCGCGATCGAAATAAGAGAAGACCAGAAAACTATGAAGTGGCCTCGGAACATCGCTTTGAATGGCATTGTCATTAAGAACGAGCTGCCGTAATTTAAACAGAGAGAATGTTCGGCAAGAGCACCGCCTGGCCGAGCGAGCTGGAAGAAAGGCTCGAGTTCGCGAAGTGTGCTGTCGAGAATTCGCCATGGGATCGTGTAGATGACTGCGAGCATAATGGGAAGAAATGTGACCAGAACATATTGGACGAGAGTTATTCTTGGGGCGATTGTAATACCACCATTGGACCAAGCGAGGTATGTGCCTGTTGAATTTACAAAAGTCGCTGTCGGTACGACTGCGTTGTTGACATCTGAGGGCTTACTATTTCAAGAATTCATTAACTTGGATGTGTGTTCATCCCTCGGGGATGTAACCCACCTTCCCTTCACATTACTTGGGGCACTCGGAGCAGCTCCTCCAACCACAGTGAAAGTCTGCCCATTGATCTTCGTAATGAGGGAGAAAGGTTCTCCGTTTGATTTTGTTGCAAGTTGGCCGGATGATAAGGTGGACTCTTTGTTATCCACAATCACCACAAGAGGCTCTGAAGTGATGGCAGCTGAAACCGGGTTTTTCGGTGTCGGTGAAGCAATAGGTGTAAGTGTTGAGGTTTGGCCATTGGCAATGACAAGAAGGGGAGCCGGAGACGCAGGGGCGGGAGTGTTACCAACAGGTATATGAGTGTTTCCGGTACCGGTCGGACCCGGAAAGATAAGGTGACCATCAGTGGCAGTATAGAGGACTGTCGGGTTCCCCGGCACTGGATTAACACCCGCAGGTGCAGCAGGTGCTGTATTCCCCCCTGTATCAAGACGGCCTCCGTTGCCGTTGGGCTGACCGACAGGAGTTGGGACCACTTCTGGCTGTGAATTTACATCTCCATCTGCAGGAGGCCCTGGAGGAGTTGGCGTTGGTGTGAAGCCCGGCTGTGTAGTGGGATCGGGTGGGGGTATGGGGATTGAACCGTCGCCGAGTATAAGGGGGCCTTCAGGACCCACTGTACCTGTGGCCGACGGATAGTATGCAGAAGTTGGCTCCGTGTTAAGATCTGCTGAAATGCTCGTCGCCGAGGAAGCGACTTCGAGAATAAGGTTTGTTGAGTCAATAGAAGCTGCCATTGTCAGTTTTCTGCAAATCGCGATTATCAATGCAGATGATTTGGCCTTACTCCATTGCCGCCTCTCCACATTTCGCCCAATATCTATGTAAAGCGTCTGGTTTAACTCATCAGCAACCTTGCTCCAAGTCCCAACACCAGCATGAGCTGGCAGAGAGCGGGTGGCAACTTCAGATAATGCAATGAGACTAAAAGTACAGAGTAAAAGGAACAGAAGAATAGGAGCCCGAGTCACAAAGGGCTTGTAGAGGGCTCGACCTACGACAAAGTTAGCCATGCAAATAACGTGAAATCCCCAAGGTTGAAACAAACCATTATCGAGAAAATAATCTTGCATTTCAGCGAATACACAATATCAACATGGAACCCGCAGGTCTTCGAGGGGCAGACGAGGTTCTCTTAGTGACCCTTTATCCCACAGCATCCAAAGAGCTAGAAACCTGTGCAACTTGGCATGTAACTGGGAATATAGAAGCTTAGATACTAACGAAGAGTGGCAAAGCACCAAAATGAGACTCTAGATTCCCGGCTGTGAATAGGCCATGTGCAGAGAATCGGATGTTGAGGCTTGAGGCTGAAGCTTGGCATTTGGAAGCACCAATGGATTCAATCAAAAAGCAGAGACGAAGACGCATGCGCGAGAACTGCTCCAAAAATAATATTCCTCTTCGCGGCACAGGATCTTCCGCACGGAGAAAACCCACCCGCTGAGCTTTGAAATAGCGTTGCTGCAAATCCGCGGCAGCGTTCCAATAGTCCTATGCCTACTCAGCATGATACATAATATACATCTGGTACATGTGCTTCGTCGCCCAGAAAATTTCCGGAGTCCCAGTTCGCAGAATTCGTCTGGTTCTTACCCATCCATTGCTTTCAACACCTGTTTCCGTCTGATCATTGCTCGATCTCATCAAGCTCCTTGATCTTCAATTCGGAGATCCGTAGCATGGTGAACTTGAGCTTGGTCCTGACCGTCTTAGTCTTCCTGGTCCTCCGCTTCTTCTTCTCTTTGATTCTCATCGGCTCTGCCTCCACGCCCATAACCCTCGCCCTGCACTCGAATATCCTCTCATCCACATAGGGCGTGCCCTTCAACGTGTAATCTCGAGATCCAATGGCCGACGCACGATTCAGACGTAGAACATCCCCCGGAACAACACCTGGCATGTGGAATGGCAGCCGTACCATATCACCGACTGTGACAAGATATGGCTTCCCGTGAATGTGCGCGCTTACGTAGTGAGATGGTTGTGTCGCTAGTAGAGGGAGCATCTCTTTGACTGATTGAGAGAGGGCGAGTGGTGTGGTGATTGGGGCTGGTGGTAGAGGAACAGATCTCTTCGTTACTTTTGGGGGAATTGGTGTAGCATTAGGAGATTCTGCGGTCGGCAATTGAGAGGATTCGAATGCTCCTGTAGGAGAGTCGACATGTTGAGTTGTAGCATTGAAGTATCGAGCGCGACTGGGGAGGAGAAACGTTGGTGGGAGCGCCAAGTGGGGTATTCGTGTGTCTAGGAGGGAGCGTCTGATCGCTCTGCTGCTGAACATCTTGAAGATGGAGATGTACTGCCTTTGAATGCTGGAGACTTGTCTCGTGGAGATGAAGTTGCCCGGATGGGAATCTTGAGAAAATCCGGATGACTAAGCATATTTAGCGCGGAGTCCAAAAAAATCTTATCGATTATGGCGAGCATCGAAGCCTCGTCAACGTCCCTCCACATCACAACCCACCAACGAATTGACCGCCCATCATGCCTCAAAATGAGTACATGGACAGATGGCGCAAGCTGCATGGTCGTAGACTCGACCACGAGGAACGCACCCGGAAGAAGGCGGCGAGAGAGGGCCACAAAGCCTCTGAGGATGCCCAAAAATTGACGGGATTGAGGGCCAAGTTGTACCAGAAGAAGAGACATCATGAGAAGATCCAGATGAAGAAGCAAATCAAGGCACACGAAGAACGAAACGTCAAATCTTCCGCGCCGAACGAGCCCAGCAGCACCCCTCTTCCCCAGTACCTTCTCGACCGCTCGAACCCAACTTCTGCGAAAGCCCTGTCCTCAGCAATCAAAAATAAGCGCAGTGAAAAGGCGGCCCGCTTCAGTGTACCATTGCCAAAGGTCAAGGGTATCTCTGAAAATGAGATGTTCAAGGTGGTTAAGGTACGTTTTGGAGAGCTGCATTACACAGGCGGCTTGCCTGGGGCGAATACAAATGCTGGGTGCTCTGGTAACGTGTGGGACGCTCCAAAGCTGTGGATTTCTGGGTCGCCTTTCGGCTATCTTGAATGATTTCCTTGGGCTTGTTCCCCAGAGTACCAGAGTCCCTGCGGCTGCTCTCGAGATACACTGTATAATTCTTGAAAAATACATGGCTAATATACTTTTTAGACGGGAAAGAAGACTGCGAAGAAGGGATGGAAGAGAATGATTACAAAGCCTACATTTGTTGGTCCCGGTAGGAAAAAAAACCCCCTTGATCCATGGGCGCGGCGTTGAAACCCCTTTCCTCTGATATAAGGTCTAATTTTCCGTGCCCAGATTTCACAAGACGGCCTGTCAAGTACGAAAGATTTATTAGGCCCATGGGTCTCCGCTATAAGAAATGCAATGTCACACACCCAGAGCTTGGTGTCACAGTCCAGCTTCCAATAATCTCTGTAGGTCATCTTATGTTCTGAATTGAGCTAGAGCTAATCATCTTTTCAGGTCAAAAAGAATCCTCAAAATCCTATGTACACTCAACTTGGTGTTTTGACCAAGGGAACCATTATCGAGGTTAATGTTAGTGAGTTGGGTATGGTCACCGCAGGAGGAAAGGTCGTTTGGGTAAGTGGAATTGTCCTTACATTGTGAGATGGCAATCACTAACAATATTTCAGGGTAAATGGGCGCAGATCACGTAAGTAGACCTACCGAGATCTTAATTCTTGATTTGGATAGGGTTCTTGAGTCTTATTATCGCTAGCTGTCTCTTCAGGGAGACATCGTATTATTCACAAACAATCACTGACTAGATAATACAGAAACAATTGTGAAAATGATGGATGTGTGAATGCGTGAGTCTATCTCCAGGCCTTACAACTTCCTCAGTCTAATGTTCCCAGTGTCCTACTCGTTTGATGGCCCATATTTACTAGGTCGTTCGTTGCATGGCAAAGGAGTCAGAGGCGTCAAGGGGATACAGAAAATCGGATTCGAAAAATCGGGTATCACTAGGTAGGAGACTAGATAGTCGGCATTTCACGACCAGACTTTCTTGTAATCTGACACATTCTTTTGACGTCCCTCTTTCAGAGTGATCGGCTGGAGGCTCATTTTCTGCTTAGTAAGTCTTCTATGATTGGCTGAGACGTACCTTCTCAGGCCAGGCGGTTGCACCTAAAAAGCTGGCCTTGCCAAAGTCCTTTGACGACTTGGCCACGCAATTCAGCTTGAAATCAAGCACTACCAAGCACTACTTTACTCACGTCCTTTATACGTGACTTTCGCTCCTTCTTCAGCATCTTTCTTCACCTCTTCCAAGAGCAATTCCTAGCCCAGTGATTAATTATCTTTGCTCAGTCATTGAAACATGGATCTATCAACTGCCTCACAAGTCCCACCATCATCAACTTCTTCTGCCCCAAACATCAAAGTACAAGCGCTCGAACTTGCTCAACTCCCCAAATTCCACCGCAAGTTTACTTCTCCAGGGACTAGTACTCACGGCGAGTTGCAAGTATCGTACTCAATTGCCGGACCAGACATCGGAGACGATGCCCCAACGATTTTGTTCTGTGGTGGCATGTTTGGTATGAGGTGGATGGCTGTCACGCAGAACTGGTTTGCAGAACAGAATGGTGTCAGGATGATATTCATCGACAGGTAAGCTACAAAATCACACACAAGAACATGACTATCTACGCCCAAATGAGAAGGGGCCACAACACGTGATGCACATTTCTCCCCCCCTGGTTTGGCTACGATACAGCCGTTATGGAAAGCATTGTGTTGACGGATGAAATAGACCAGGCTTTGGAGACAGCACACCAGTCTCCATCTCTCGACGCATCTCTATCTTCCTCGAGACCGTAATCGCTCTTCTCGCCGAATTGCAGATCCCACACATCGCCATAGCAGCCCAAAGCGCCGGGACAATCTACGCACTTAACCTCATCGCCCACCATCCCGACCTCCTCTCCCCGTCGCATCCCACCCTGACGCTCTTCTCGCCTTGGGTCCACCAATCCATCTCCGGCAACCTGGGGTTCAAGGCCGCCGCCAAGCTCCCCGACATCAGTCTCGATTACTGGAACACTCTCGTCGGCGGCATCATCACGAAAGGCGGTCCGGCCTTGAACCACAGCTCGGGCATCCTGACGTCCGCGACCAAGATGTTCACGGGGGGTGGCAACGGCAGCCCAGTGTCGTCGGAGGGGCTGGTGCGAGCGGCGCAGGAGAAGAGGTGCAGAGAGAGGTATGGCATCAGCCTGGATCTTAAAGCCGAGCTGGTCTCCACTTCCAACGCATTGTGCTGGGGGGAATCCACCGTGGGCGGCAACGACGAGGCGAGGATCTGCCTCAAAAGCTGTCCCGGGACGGGCTGGGACCGCTGCGAGGTCTACCCGACCTTCGTACAAGACCTCAAGCTCGAGTGGGGGGATCGTGCCGCGAGGAGTGGGCACAAGCTCAAAATCAGGATCGCGTTCGGGGAGGGCGAGGATTCGATGGTGGGCTGGAAGGGGATGCGGTATTTCGAGGACTGTTTCGCAAAGGAGAAGTTGGGGAGGGGGATCGAGGTTGAGAAGGTGGTACAGAAGGGTGCGGATCATGATTCGATCGTGGGTCCTGGTTTTGATGAGATTCTGAGGCTGTTTGAGAGGGTTAAGGAGGGATGGAAGAAGGACAGAGACTGAGACAGGGAATGGGGAGTTGACAAGTGGGTTGTTTGCTTGGCGCTGATGGTGAGGATATTTTATCCAGCAGTCTGTGGTTATGGAAGCAGGAAAAAATAATATATAGTGGAGAAATGCCGTAGCAGCATTACTGTGAGATGAATATGTTTGAATTTCATACGCCGATAGAGAAAATTAGCCCGCCAACTCCAATAAGCGGCCAAGAAAGTAAACATCAATTCACGCCTCGTCTTCGCTCTCTCGGTCTTCTCGTGTCGATCGTTTCCAGGGTTCAGTTCAATGATCAGCGGCAGTCTTTATTCGAGACTAGAAGCATAAGAATCAGATCTTGGGAGCCGGCAACCAGTTGCTGGCAGAGTTTGGATGAAGTTGGGTAAAGGACAAACACTTGCTTCTAGACGAATCCCACCCCCAAACCAAAAAAGAGCATTTTCGGTGAGAATTCCCACTCCAAAGAGTAGGAATGACCTCGGCCGTCTTGTATGACTAGAATTTCAACGAGGTCTAACCTCCAGGCCAGAACTGACACTCGCGGGATGCTCTTCAGCTGCCGAGATCATAGGTGGTTACCACTTGGACCTGGATCTATGACATGACATATATAATGTCTCTGTAGACTAGAAGTGAAGGTTTATGTGCGGCCACACACTGTTATCAACGTCGCTTGAGGAATGGTGGCAGAGGACTCGAGAAGTTGGGGACACATGTCGACAGGCGACGGCAGTATATCAGAGTAAGCAGTCCTTCTGGGTGTAAAGTGCCATCATCTCCGGAAGTCGCATCAGACGCGGAATTGTGGTTGTTCCGGCGCTGGTGAATGTGGGATTGAAGTGGAAAGCCATATATATATCACTCACTAATGGATCATCTGTGAAAATCTGATTTCAGTTGATGCCTCAGATCCCAGGCGCCAACATACCCTCTTCAGGTGCCTCGCGATCGCATCTAGCAACGTCACTTCATAGCCAAGATGCTTTTCTTTAGGTCTGCCCACTCCAAGCTTAATCCAAATACTTCTCTGTCGCACGAATGCTAACGTCTTGCCTCTGCGGATAGCTTCTTCAAGACTCTGGTCGACCATGAGGTCACCGTCGAGCTCAAGAACGACATCCAGATCCGGGGGACTTTGAAATCGGTGGACCAATACCTGAACATCAAGCTGGACAATATCTCGGTGGTGGAGGATCTCAAGTATCCCCATCTGGTCAGTACATCCGCCTGTCGGAGCGAATTGCAAAGGAGAATCTGCGGGCTTGCCGCGTTTGTGCAAAAGCACATGCTGATATTAAAACTGGTCTAGTCTTCCGTCAAGAATGTTTTCATCAGAGGCAGCGTAGTCCGATATGTACACCTGCCAGGCTCCGCGGTAGATACGGCACTGCTGGAGGATGGTTGGTACCCCGCATCTTTTCTCTCTTGGCCAGTCGCTGATTTTCATGTACAGCAACACGTAGAGAAGCTGCAAACCAGGCTGGCAAAGTGGCTAAGTGATAGCACTCAGTAGGTTTATACCCGAGGAAGGATGGATATTGAAGGGTACGCTTTATGAGAGGAACCAACAGCGCAATGAAGCTTACCACCACGACCTTTTCCCGATCATTAAACCCTCTCTCCGTTCGGACGGAATTCGATATTTTTTGCAAGGGACGTCATTTCATGCCTGGGTGAAGTTGCCGAATCGCGGGCACGGCACGTAGAGAGGAGTTCAAGGCTGGAGGCGTTTTGCGCAGGAGTGCAAAAGGCAACTAGGTAGACAATACCCAATGGACGATGGTTTCAGCTGCAAAGGAAAATGGGACATTCTGCTCTACAATTCAGAAGAACAAGGTGCAGTAGACTACGGGCTGGCGAAGTTCTTGCGCGTTTTTGTCGCGCTATCGAAGCCAACATTAAAGCTTCAAAGCTCGATCAGGTTATGCCCAAGCTGCAACTTCATATATCACTTGTTGGGTGACGTCTTAACATGTTCCTTTTTGAGGACTGTTAGAGAGCATATCATGGCGCCGCCTCTTACGGTACAAAGAGTCACTTGCAAGTGCATAGCAGATAAGGCAAATTTGGAGATACTTAGAGTAATAGGATAATAGTGCGAACAAGCGTTGTAGCGTTGTAAAGAAAAAGGTTACGGCTTTCACACCAATCGTAAATCAGAAAGGGTACCTGGGTGGAGGTTGCCGTTATATACACATCTATCTCTTATTTGGACTCAGATATATAAACATAATGGAATGCTTAAGAACGCCTTGAACAATCGACAGAAAAAGACCGTTTTAGTTCAGTGTAGTGGATATTGAGTATTTACATCAACCGATGTTTCCGCGGCCGGCGCTAGGTCGAAAGGAAGCTTAGCTCCCATGGGCTTGCCCTGATCACGTGTAAAAACAATCCCTGCAAATATAAATCGTGCCTTCGACTTCGACTTCGACCTCCACGCTCGAAATATCATCAACACAAGACCTACCCCACCCACGATACTCCAAGACATCCTCACGCTTTCACAGCTTTCGCTCTCTAGCATACGTTCTTTACGGATGATCTTGTGAGCAATCGCGCACCCGCGAAGCCCGCGACCTGCGTCCTAGAATTTCGAAAGCGTTCCGTTGCTCCGATCTTTAGTAACCCACAATCATGCCTCCTGTACGTTCCCTCTCACCTTGAAGGCCGACAGCCAGCTGACATTATGGTGCAGATCGGTGACCTCCTGGCCCAGATCTCTGGGGAGCCGAGCCCTATCCAGGCAACATGCCCTCCTCTTCCGAAGCGCAAGGCCAGCGAGCAACTCCGGAAGCCAGTTGACAAGCTGCAGAAGACAGACGAGCCAGCAGCCGACTACTTCCAGCCCCCCTCCCCGATTAGCAGGACTTCGAAAGTCAGCAACTCGATTACTGCGATGACGCTGAGTACAAAGGACAAACCCGTGGCTAAACCCGCTGCTAAACCCGCTGCCAAACCCGCTGCCGAACCCACTTCCAAACCCGCTACCAAGCCCGCTGCCAAACCCGCCGCCGAACCCACTGCCAAACCTGCTGCCAAACCCGCTGCCAAACCTGCTGCTCGCCACTCCGCGTCGACGACGATCATCAAGAACGGACAGCCAACCCCCCCACCTGCTACCGATGCGCCCAAGCCCGCTCCTAAGAAGGGGTCCTTTGCAGAAATTATGGCGCGGGGTAAGGCGGCACAGTCAACTCTTGGACAGGTCGGAAAGATTCAGCACAAGCGTATCGAGAAGATGCCAAGTAAGCGTGAGAAGGAGGAGCTGAAGGCACAGAAGTCCTCGAATCTCCAGAAGAACTTCGACCCGGAGAGCAAGTTCAGCAAAGTGGCTCCGTCTATGGCTCGAAATGGACAGAGCGTCAAGGATAACGGAAAGGCTGGACAGAGTGGGGCGAGACAAGGTGGAAAGGGCCGTGCAGAACCCGAGCAGCCTGAGAAGAAGATCAAGAAGGCTGCGACGGCTACGACTGGATACACTGGAACTTCTCGACCAAAACCCGGTGGATCCGCCTCGAAGCCTTCTGCCTCTGCCTCGTCGTCACGTTATGATAGAGGTCCTGATAGGGACCGACATCGGACGAACGATAGATACGGTGGTGCTCGTTATGCGTACACCAGTGAGGAAGAAGACGAGGAGGAGGAGGAAGAGGAAGAAGACTACGATTCTGACCTCTCTGATATGGAAGCTGCGGCATTCGAAGTCGATGACGAAGAGGAAGAGGCTGCTCGTATTGCTCGCCGTGAGGACGCTCTGGCTCTGGCTGAGGAGAATCGACTCAAGCGAGAAAAGGAAGAGAAGCGAAGAAGATTGACTGCTATGGCCAAGGCCAAATCGAGCAAACGCTGAACCGAGGTGTGGTGGATTTTCATTTGCTTGATTAGCATGGGTTTCGTCGGACGGAATGGAAAGGAGAGGCATGGCTTTACTTTGAGTGGATAGTTGCATTGGAGACGCGATGGGGGGACTCTGTTTTAGCGGGAGGGCGTCAAAAGGTTACGAGCATTGGAGGCGTTGCACTTGGGCGCTGTGTTGACTTTGAAGTAGAGCGTCTAGCATCATGACTGCAGCGAGAATCCTTATGTATGTATCAATGTCTGGATTACTCTGAATAGAACGGAATGGGTCATGCAGTGAAATATTTGCAAGTCGATTTCTGTACGCAGTGAACCATTTGGCAAGTCAATATCATGCTATACGCACTGAACTACCTATGTAGCAAGTCAACGTCACGCACGCATACTGTATGTACGTAAATCAACCAGAACCCCCTCCCCCCCCCCCCATCATCCTCCACCGCACGACTACTACCGGTACCAGGTACTAACTACCGTACTCAGCGTCCAGACCCTTTCCAACACCCTGCCTGCCTTCTGCCCACCAGAGCTCGCTCGGTTTCTCCCTCCGAGCCGCGAAGTAAGGAAGTAACTAGGCGACTTGATCCTCGTCTCAGCCTGAGAGATTGATTGGTTGATTGGTTGATTGGTTGGTTGATTGATTGATTGATCAAAAGGGCTGAGTCGATCGTCGATCGTTTTTCTTCTCTTTCCCTGTGTGTGTGCTCGGCGCAGGGCACTGAAACGGTGGAGGGGCGGAGGGGCGGAGGGGCGGAGGGGCGGAGGGGCGGAGGGCAGCGCCGATGGTGCTGGTGCTGGTGGTGCTGGTGCTGTTGGTGATGGTGATAGATAGATAGATAAGAGACGTGTTGTGTGGTTTGGTAGTGGCTTTTTCTTTCTTGGATGAGGGCGGGCTTGTTTGTTTGCTTGTTTACTTGTTTGTTTGCCGACTAGCTAGCTAGCTGGTGTAGGTAGTGTAGGTAGTGAGTGTAGCTGCTCAGTGTAGCTAGCTGCTTAGTAGGCGAGCGAGGTGGTCTCTTAACCTTTGATGGATATATTCATAAAAAATTGAATTTGTTTATGCATGATTCTGTCGATTTATTTCCCTTTTTTATGTTTTTCCTTTCTGGTATTTTTCGGGGGGGCGTTGTTTACTACTACGGATGGAAAGCAGACGGACGAGTCGCTTCGTGGTCACCGCCTGTGGTACCGGTCGGTGCTTCAGCCCCCTTCTTTTTATCTTTGGTTTTTGTTTTTGTTTTTGTTTTTGTTTTTCCTTCCGCTGGCGCGCTGTTTCGGAAGGTGATGAGCGGATGGGTGAGTGAGTGAGTAGGTGAATGGGTGAATGAGCGAACGAGCATATCCCTTTCCCGAAATGTCTCTTGTGAGGATTAGGATTAGGATTAGGATCAGCTAGCAGAGAGAGAGTGTGTGTGAGAGAGAGAGAGAGGGAGAAAGAGAGAGAGAAAGGCCAGCAGCCAGGGCGGGAGAAAAGAAAAGCCTATATTTATCTATCTATTTATCTATCTATATTTATTTATCCATAAATATATATCTTTATATCTTAATCTTAAAACGCCAACTGCTTTTCGATTTACGTGACAAGAAAAAGATATCCAGATCTAGCCTAGCCTAGCCTGCCCTGCCCTCTATCCCGTCGTAGATGCATAAAAGGGGGGGGGGGGGGGGGGCTGGCTAGAAGTAGTAAATTCTTCTCGCGCACTCGTTAGGTGATAGGTGGATGCGTGGGTAGTGGGTAGTAAGATGGGTAGGTAGGTATAGAGACGCGCCTTCTTCCGCCGAGAGCAAGCGAGCAAGCGAGCAAGCGAACGCTGCAGTGTGTCGGGAGACAGACAGACGGGAGACTAGGAAGGAGCGGTGGATCGGATCGGACCTGGGATGGGAAGGGAACTGCGAACGCGCCCTGCTCTCAGGAGGTGACATGCATCCTTTCGGTAACAGGATCTAAGTATAGCGCGTCGTCGATGATGTTAGATGTTGGGGCGCCGATTTCTGGACTCGGCCTCGGGTTTAACGGAGGAACGCATCGTCGCCTGGCCGTCTCCGTCTCGGTATACTTCTCGTTACTCGGACTGCGGCTGGGTTGGTTGGTGCCCGTTCTCAGGCCCGGGGATCAAAGGTCCGTAAAGAGGGATCATGCGTGCGGGATCTGTGGTGGTGTCGCCTGTGCCCCATCAGGTGTGAATTGAGCAGGCTGTGGAGTGAGAAGGGAGGAGAAATCGGTGCGGATGATGTTCTGCGAGAGGCGAGAGGGCGCCTCGGTAGGGACCAAGAAGAGAAGATTGCGGCAGGGCTGTATGATTTCATTTTTTTTTTCCGGTCGTGTCGTGTCTTCGCAGCCTGGCTGACTGCCACATCTGCCGAGGACTTCTTGCTTTTCTCGGCCTCGAAGATCCGCAGCAGGGCTGGTTCCGTCCCGAGGCATTGCTGCTGGCCTCAAGAGATGCCCGAGGCTTCATGGCCGCGTGCGAATATGACCGCCAGCAAAGTCGCTGATGCGAGGAAGGTTCCGTGGAGGAAAGGCATGAATGTGGCGGGATGGTCCATTCCATGGCAAGTAAAATCGAGCTTGTCTTGGCTGGAGGAGGAGAGCTGCTTTGAATCTTTACGGAGGAAAGCATAGTAGGGTGGTAAACAGAATGCTGCCGCGAACAGTAGAGCTGTGCCAGTGACTACGCGCAGAGTTTGGTGGTTTTTGAAGAGAGAGAGAGAGAGATGCCAGTCATCCTGGGATGCACGTGCTTGCAAGGCGAGATTATTTTCATGCTGTGCCTTTTCCTGCCCTGTAACAGCTCATTCAGAGAGGCGTTCCTCTACACAAGAGCCGAGAGTGAGACGATGCACGCCGACCTTTGTTTTGGCAAGCCTCGCTCGCTTATTTGGCGTCACGGGCGACCCTCCACCACCCCCCTTCGGCTCACGCTTCAGACTCATCGTCGCTATCGTATTCCGCCGCCCCCTCGCTCTCCTCCAGATAGGCGTAAGTCCCCGTGAGGCCTACACTCACAGAAGCGAACACGACAATCACGGCATACCCGATGCCGAACCACAAGGCCACGATCGAGGTGGCTTTCCACACCCAACCTGCCCATTCCCGGGGTGTCCAGGCGTGGTACGAGTCGAGACTGCGGGCCATGAAGAAGGTGCACGCAAAGTGGAAGATGGCGATCAGGTCGAAGAAGACGAGCCGGCCGCAGGCAATTGTCCAGGTTCGCCATGAACGTGGCCCGACGCGGGCGCGATAGCCGATGAGAGCGATGAAGGTGAGAAGAAAGGCGAAGGAAGAGAAGGCGTAGATCATGTGCCGGTTGATGGCTCCCAGCAAGTCCAGAGAGGCGGATCCGGCCATGATGGTCGATGAAGACGGACGGTGGGAATGCGGTGCGAAATTGGAGATGGAGATGCCTTTATCCTGCGGTAGCTGATCCTTCAGCATTCCTCACTCAGCACTGATCAATGCCAAGGCTCCCGCGGGCATACGAACAGACATTCCAACGGCGATTTAGGTATGGACGCTCGATTTTATTCTTAGCATGAGTGCCCAGGCACACCCCGTAAAGCAGTGAGGTAAGGTACCGTATTCTCTGTCTAAAATGACCGAGGTCTGTTCCCTGGCGGCCCTCCGAACGCTCCGGGGCCAGGCCAGGGGACCTCGCTTCGTAACGGTCGCGCGTCAGGCTGCCTCTAGAGGCTTGTAACATTTACGCTACATCAATTTTCTATCAGAGATGCATTCTAAAACTTTGTTTTTGGAAAAACAAAAATTTAAAAAAAATAAACGCTCTAGCCGGCCGCAAGCCAAACTTACTGCCCTCCGCAAATCTACGAGGTAGGTCTTCCGGACTTCGCGGTCAATTGAGTACCTTCAAGGCAGTTAGTTAGGGGGTTATCTCAACGGCCAGCTGATCCTCCGATGACCACCTTTCTCTTTCAGAGACGGGTCCTCCGGTAAGAGCGTGTCGACATGGCCAGCGGATCACCGCAGGCCGATACCTACCTGAATTGGAGATCAAACCCGTAATCAAACCTGTAATCAAACCTGTAATCAAACCTATAATCAAACCATCTATCCCCCAAAACTATCATTTTTTTCCTTTTTCAAACCGTAGCAGAAATGGAACCGGCTAAAACGAATCAAATCTAATCAAACCAAATCCTCTTGTGTGTGTGTGTGTGTGAGTGTGTAAGAGCCCGCCTCTCCATCCGAAAGATCACGCCCAGCAAGTACCGGTACCCAAACCGTCTCGAACCGACCCGACCACTGACTCGTCGCGCACGTCGTACAAAAAAAAAAACAAGCGTCTCGGAGCGTTGCGTTTACGGGACCGTTTTACCGCCGTCCCAGGGCCCCCGTTCGCGACCTGGAAAACGAAATCAAAACTCACACCAACACCGTCCCTGAAGACCGACTGTACTACCTACCGTGAAGGCAGGTGAGGGTTTTTTTTTTTGTTTTTAAACCTTCAGCTGACAATCCGGTGACGGTCTCTTGAAAAAGAAGATTCTAAGAGGTTGGCATGGCATGGCTGGTGGATCGATCACCTTGGGCCGATACCTACTTGAGATTAAATAGAATCTGATAAACAAACGATTTGGTTTATTTAAATCGTATCCTAAATAATACTATATCAATCGATTAAATCGTTTTTTCTAAGAGCTCGTCTTTTCGTGGAAAGATTATTATGTAAATAAGCTCGTGTTGATCGATCAAATCGTCGTTTACCGGTATAAAAGTCGATCTTTTTTACGAAAAGACCGTTTTAAGACCGTTCTAAGGCCGTCCCCGAACTTAAAACCGTTTCGGAGAACGTGAATTAGTAAGCAAATAATGTCTTTTTCCTTTCCATTACTTGCTAGTCTGCCTTCTACTATGCTACACCTGTACCACACCCCCTTTCTCTCTAGAATCGAAGGAGGTGCATCGACGCGGCTGAACTTTTGCTGAATCGACCGATTCCGATTATAAAAAATTTAAAGCGTTGATATACAAGCCGTAGCAGCGATACCGAGAGATATTCCTAGCATCGAATCTATCAGGTTATTATTCAAACGATTCCATCTGAGAAATGATTTTTATCTACAACTCTAATATCTATCTTTTTTTGAAACAGTCATCGAGCCACTATACTTTTTTAAAATGAGCTTATTAGTAAGCCTGTTCTAAAAATATAGACGGGGCCGGGCTATAAGACGATCGAAAAGGTAAATCATTTTTCATTTGTAACTAGTGCTGATTTCAAGCGGTCTAATACCTTAAAGGGGAATGCAGGGAGCATCTAGACGGTCAGCTGATCGTCCGATAACCATCTCTTTTAAGGACGATTTGAATAAGTTAGCATGGCTGGTAGATCACCCAAGGCCTATACTTAAGATCGAATAGAATTTGAAAACAAACGATTTAAATGATTTACATCGTAGCTAAAAAAAAAACAACTATTTTATTCGATTAAATCGTTTTTTTTTTAAAAAAAAATACTCGTCTTTTCGTATAAAAACCGTCTGAGGACCGTCTTCGAGCGTTGTAAGACCGTCCTATGGCCGTCCCCATGGCCGTCCTTGAGCTTAAAACCGTCCTGGAGAACGTGGATTAGTAAGCAAATACTCTTTTTATTGCTTGCTGGTCTACCCTGTACTACCTTAACCGCTTACTACACTCCCCCCTCATACTGCTACCCCCTCGAGGACTGCAAGGGCGGCCATCGTGCGCGGGTAGACTTTTGCTGAATCGATCGATTTCGATTACAAAAAATTTAAAGCATTGATATATAAGCCGTAGCAGCGATACCGAGAGATATCTTGGCATCGAATCTATCAGATTATTATTCAAACGATCCCATTCGAGAAATGATTCTTATCTACAACTCTATCTTTTTTTTGAAACAGTCATCGAACCATTATACTTTTTTAAAATGAGCTTATTAGTAAGCCTGTTCTAAAAATACAGACGGGGACGGCTATAGGACGATCGAAAAGGTAAATCATTTTTCATTTGTAGCTAGTGCTGATTTTAAACGGTCTAATACGGTAGGTAGGTAACCGTCTCTTCTAAAAGAGGGTCAGAGGACCGCTCAAATGACCCCCTACCTGCCTTTAAGGTAGGTAGTACTTAGGATGACGGTCCCTGAATTCAAATTTCGCATCGACTCTACCTATAGTAGACGGGTTAATGTCCGTCCTTCCCTTACTGTATAGCAGGGAGTCAGAAGACCCGCTGAAATGCCCTCCTACGGTACCTACCTACCTTACCTACTCGCTTCCAAGTAAAGCAAGTATAAAATCCCTCTTTCTTTTCATAAATACTAGTCTCCTTCCTCATCTGTCTATCTCCATCTCCATCTATCTCTATCTCTATCTCTACCGTATATCACAACACCAAGCTCTCTCCAAGACAGGTCAGAGCGGGAAAGGAAAACCCGATACCTACCGATACCTACACGAGAGAGGGGTGATAAAGCAGGCAGGCCGGCCTTGCGAAGACGGGAATCAGATTAGAGGTCACGGGGGAAGGTGCGTAGCCTGCACGCGTGGGTGGGCAAGGGCACTTCTACGTCCCGGCCGGTACTGTAGAGTTGTGGCCACCGAAAGAATCCTCACTCCGTAAGTAGCTTCCCGGGTGGGATAGGTAAGGTAAGTGGCGTGTCTATCCCCGTGGACCGGAACAGCCTGCTCTCTTTGGGAAGGAGGGGGAAGGGGGTTAAAAAGATAGGCCGTACCTGCCCTTACTACTGTACTGTATAAGTACCTACTATAGGTAGTGGTCGTGCCCCCTCCCTGCCCTGCCGTAACAGGCAGCCTTCCTCCGCACACGGTGCCCGTACCGGTACCTACCACGACCATTGCCAAGCGCGCTCCCCTGACCTGGCCCCGGAGCGTTCGGAGGGCCGCCAGGGAAGGAATAGGTACCTACTTAGAGAGGTAGGTAAGTAGGTAGGCCTCGTACAGTAAGTAAGTAAGTAAGCAAGTAAGTAAGTAAGTAAGTAGCCCAAGGTCCGCCCGCCGCCATCGAGCTGCTTTCACGGATCAATCGACCTTTGCGAAACGACGTGGTATCAACGCTTCTCCGCGGGCTCTTTTTTGCTCGCCTGCACTTCCATTCCATCCCGATTGCGCAGTGGCTTGCGTAGGTCGGGCGGTCGGTCGGTATTGCTTTGCTCTACTTTGCTTTGCTCGGTCGTGGTCGTGGTCGCGAAGCGCTTGTTGGGAAGGAGAGAGAGACCCTATCTACGACGGCTAGCGGTACTGGTACCTACACAGCCTTGGATGGAAGCTTGCACGTACGAACCGAGACTCGCATAGCGGAGATGAGGATGATACCTATACCTAGGAGCATGCCGACGACCGTGGAACACACACACATACACACACGCATACACAAAACAAATAGAAAAAAAAGGGGGGGCTTTCTCAAACGCACTCACTACCGCTATCGCGCCCCTAGAGAATCCGCCGCGGGCTGGCCCAGCCTAGCTACATAGCCTAGCTTAACTTAACTAAACTAAACTACCTAGCAGAAGGACCTCCAGGTAGATACCTAGATGGGTTCCGCCGTCGAGGCATCCATCCATCCATCCATCCATCTATTCATCAGGAAGGGAAATGCTGCGGGGCTAGCCATCCATCCAGCCAGCCAACCAGCTATTTACACCGGTATATGTTGTGCAAAAGGGCCGAGATCATGAAAAGAAAAAGAAAGAGAGAAAAAGGAAAGAAGAAGAAAAAAGAAAAAAGAAAGAAAGGGAAAAAAGTATTAGTTTATTTAGTTAGATCTTTGCTGTTCGATTTGGTTTTTTTTTATATATATATATATATACACACACATCCCCAAAACGCGCCCTGACAGAAACGGAATTTCCATTCCCCAAGACACGTACGCCTTCTAATTCTTACCTGCTTGCCTGCTGCGTACTTACTTAATAACCTCGACCAAACACACCGCGATACCAGCATCGCATCGCATCGCATCGCATCGCATCGACCACCAAGCTCAATAAGAACAACAACGAAACCACCAAACATCCAGCCTGACCTCAACCGCGCCAGCGAATCCGCTCATGATAACCACTTTTTAAACAAGATAGAGATAATATAACCAACATGACAAATCGCCGCTATATAGCTTGGTGTGGCAGGATAAAGACCAGGCGTCTAGACGTGAGTGAGCTTGAGCTTGAATCGCGAGGGAGCAAGCAGTTCGAAAAGTTCTTGAGAAAAAGCCACAAAAAAATATATATGAAAAAAAAATAAAAAAAAAAAAAACCACCCCGTCCCACTACCCTCCTTCCCTCGACTTGCTGC